TGCCCCGCTCAGGATGGCATGTGTCTGTGACCGTGAGTCACGCGTGGGTTTTTTTTTTAAACTTCCAGTCAGAGATGATGGAGTCATGAAGTGCTCTCTCTCTCTCTCTCTCTCTCTCTCTCTCTCTCCCCATCTCTCCGTTTTTTTTCGCCCGACCATTGTGCTGCACGGGTGTGAAAGAATGTATGTTTTTGTTTAAGGTGCTTTCTGTCCAATTCAGCTTCATTCAGCTTCGCGGCTCGTTGCTTGAGTCTCAGAAACAATGATCTTCTTCAGCGTCGTTCAGAGATGCACTTCCTGTCTGTGAGTCATCACCTCCGGCGACATTCTTTTGATGTCCTCTGTCCAATGAGCACCCCCCCCACCCCCCCGGGAGGCCATATTACCCCCCTAGTGGTAATCACCCTTCGCCACCGCAGACGGCGTCTGGCCCGAGGCATCGGGATGACGTTGGTGACCCCTCTCGCTTTTGGTAACGGGGGTGCACAGAGATACTGAGAAATGCAAATTATGTGGGGGGTGGGACAGGAATCATTGTGACTTTTCTGGATGAGAGTCACAGAGCTATTTTGCTCCATACCAGAGGACCAGCCGCGTGAGGCATCTCTGTAGTTGGGGGGTGTATGAGTAGCTGGTTCACGTCAGCAGGCCGCCGTGCCGTTACACACACAGGCTCTGTGTAATTAACAGGCCTTTTCTCTTCCCTACTTTGTTTATTTGCTGGCTTCATTTTTTTCAGTTTGTGTTGATAAGATCGGATCGCGTCAGCACTTCAGGCAAAGTGCTCGATCGAGGTACAACTGCAGTGCCAAATCTGGGATCACACCTCCCCACTGGGATTCCTCAGAAATCTGTATCTGTTCCTTTCCTGCCTGAGTTTTCTGATGGGCCACATTTTCCTGGGTTTAGCGGTGTGAGCTCAGCCAGCACCATGAGTAGGCAGGAGCCCCTTTTGTGTACCGGGCCCCGTTAGGTCCTATCTGCCCGGGGGGGGGGATCCCACCCCTTTTGGCTCGTCAGCTCGGGATTTGGCCCAGTGCTCCGGCGCCAACATATCCAAGCATTTGGCGAGCAGCCAAGGCACGCAGGAAGCGGTGAGCACAGCAGCCAAGTAGTGTCACTGGCCGCGTTAACTCCTTCGCGGCAAACGCATGTCGTCACCGTGCAGCGCTGACTCACAGGCCAGCCCTCTGGCTTCCAGTAATAATGGGTCGGAGTCCCGCCCCCTCCCCAAGTCCCCCCCGGTGGGAAGAACAGACGAAGGTCTCCGTGCGCTCCGTGGCCAGGGATGACCACAAGCCGGAGGGTGTTTTTGGTTGGGTAGTCCCCCCACACCCTGCACAAAAGCCATCTGCGATGCGGATGACAGCGATTTGGAGAACGAGCTAATTTTTGTATGTTCATTAATTTTAGCATAATAATTTTCTTTTTTTGGTTAGGCCCAGAGATGTCCTAGTATATTTTTTGTTAGATAAATTATCTTAAATACTTTTTGTTGACAAAACTTATACAGCCGTCTGTACCATTGTTTCTGATGTTTTTCTGTTCGCACACCCAAGCACACACACACATACACACGCCACCATTACAGAATGTTAGCGGCAGTAATTTCCAGCCGCGCTTTATCCCACGTTCCCGGCAAGCCGTGTCCCACATTTAATCATTTCCTGTTGACCTCCGCAGCTGCAATTTTCACATCCTGCCGAAGTCCAGCCTGGGGGGGCTTTGCTGCTAAAGGTACGGCATGTGCCTGGCGCTTCCGAAGCACCTACAGTCTTTCCTTATAAAGGGGGAGGCCCTATTATCTCCACCATCCTGTGAGGTTCTCCTCCACCGTGATGGAGGGAAGGATACTTGCACTATGTACTTTTGAAAGTTATGGTGCGGGCTGCTTGTTCAGGTTAGGCCTTGATTTATGGGCCTGATGTCAGTCGGACTTTTTTCAGCCCCGTTTGCCTGATGGGACAGGATGAACTTCCATGCTGATGTCAAGCCAGGTGTGGTGATTCATATTCCTTGGGAAGCCAGTTGCATCACCAGCTGCTCCGCAAATTGTGGGTGTGTACTCTTGGAATCGGCCCAGGAGTTCCACCAAGGTCCTGGGGGAGGGGCAGCGGGCGCTGTGTTCTCCTACGCGGCGGGAAGGGCGTGGTGCCTCTTCATCGCTGCCTCCTCCGCAACCCGTTCTGAGAAGTTCCCTGACTTCTACGGATTTGTAGTGGGGGTGGGGGTTTGCACAGCCATTTGGCATGTGCGAGCAGGGGCCCACCCTTAGTGTTCTGTATGCCCCATACCACCCTGGTCAAGGCAGAGGTCCCAGAGCTGGTGGTCTTCTCAGAGAACTGGCTGGAATAACCCACCCAAGCCCACTAACTCTTGCTTTGAGTTACTATGGCTGATGGGACACAGTCACCTGCGATGTATCAAACATGCACTTGGCTGTTGAAGGATGAGGGCATCAGGTTAAGGTTATAGTCTGTAATATCGCAAGCGACTTGAGGGATAAGATGGACACTGTTTTAGTACAGCCACGTTTTAAGAGCGACCATCTTCCCTCTACCTACTGCTGCAGATCCTTCTGTCTGGTTCAGAAATGCTGGGGTTTGGAGCTGAGTCCAACATGCTGGACCTATGCGCTAGGCTTGTGTTTTGAGCGGTCAGTGTGTCGGGTCCAGTAGGCCTTGCTCAGGGGGGGCCTGTCACTTCCCCGAGCTGTCTTGTCACTGCCATGGTGGACGTGGAGGACATGAACCATACTCGAGCCAGTCTCACATCAACTGCAACCTTTAGGTGTTCTTCTGCCTACAGAATGGCTTTGGTCTCCTTCCGCCTTCACCATCACCCATGGACTAGGATCATGGAGATGCTACATTTGCTTTACATTGGGTAGTTTCTGAGTGTCTGGAGGGACATATTCATGCCGCTTCTTTGCTTTAAAAGCGTGCGGTTTTGAGTTCCTCAAGGAGAGCCATCTAGGCTGAGAATCATCAAGGTTGCTTTTAGTTAAAACTTTCAAGGCATTATGTGCCTCAGTGAGTCGGGGCATTACACTAGTGATCAGAAGGTCCCTCTTAATGTCACAGGATCAAATCCCAGGGTCGGCAGAGTGACTTCACTGCTGGGCTCTTGAGCAAGACCCAACTAATCCCCAGCTGCTTCTGGAGCCAGCTGACACTGCTTTCTGAGTTGCACATTACTTTGGATGGCAAACTGATCCGGGAACAGTGAGGCCGTCTCCTTGGGCCCTGAACTTGCTAACACACTGAGGAAAGTGGCAGTTATTCTGCAGAGCTCTTGTTAAGTTACTCGTCATAGGTTCTTATTACCGAGTGCAAGGTTACCGTGTGCTGTATGCGTCACTGAGGGTTAGACTTACACTTATCCTCAGTGTGTCATACTTACCGTAAGGGATTGCCCTCTACACCTGTACTCTGCACCTCTCAGTAATTCATTAGGGAACAATCGATTAGCCGTCCATGTCGTTTGCCTGTCCAACATCCTGTAGCGTACGCTACCATTTACAGCCAAGTCCGGCTCATAATTATCAGAGGGCTGCAGCAGTCTTTTAGGATCTCAGTCCTTCCCGTTCACCCAGCCGTGGGATTTGAGAGGCTGTGGCATGACTCAGATTTCTGGAAGCATGTTGGAAAGGACAGCTTCCGTATCCCGCTCTAATGGGAGCCTGTGGGGTTTGACCTTCACAGGACACACTGGAGGCAGCGTGGGGCTTTAGTCTGTCTTTTTAGTCTGTCTTAGTGGCCTGGATTTCCCAGCGCAGACATGCACTGTATCCTAAACTATATTTGTTTTTGCTGTCATGCTGGCTCTGGTTTTCATTCCTGTATTAAATACTTAGAGTTTTGAAATGAGAGGACTTACATACTCAGCACAATGATCAACCAGATGGATGAGACATGACCTGTATAGCTTACTGTGCTTATTTTTTGTTAATAGTCTACTTTTATTTGAATTGAGACTGATCTTGCTATTTCCGTGACCTTGGGGGGAAGGACCTATGGCAGCAGCCGTATGGGGACAGTTAAAAAGGCACTTCCAAGTGAAGCCTTGTGAAGGACAGAAGGTTCCATACGCGTCATTGGGCCGGAAGGGCTTCCCGTCTGGCCTGAGCAGGGCACCCATTAGATTAGCCCAACGCTGCTCCAGGGAAACGAAACCAGGGGTGACAGGGGTGACCGGAGCGTCCGGGGCTGCGACGAGTCCAAACAGAAATACGGAGAAGCGCACGTCTCTGAGAACATGAGAACCGCGGCATATCCCGAAGCGGACGGAACCACATTTATGTGGACTGATTCAGTCGAGCTGAACCCCCAGCTGACCCCCCCACCCCACAGGGAGTGCAAGCTTTCCGTCGTTGCTGGTTTCGTTCACGTGTGATAGGTCACCACATTTGTAGGCCACAGTGACCATCCATTGCCTGTATTATTTAGCCTAATTAGGTGCTTTTTTCCAGTCTGCTTTTGTACATTTATGAGGAATTTCGTTTCAGTTGTGCTGTGTCACTTGTAGCTGTTTGGCCAGATCTTGGGGTTGAGCTAACTTTTGGCCAGCTTGGCGAAGAGCGTTTTGTCTTCTGGGATTCTGTGCCTGTGAATGAGACGGAAACGGCACATTCCAGTTGAGCGGCTGATGGCTCGTCGGGATGAGCTCGGCCAGTAAGTGGCCCTCTGTAACATCTGGTACTCTGCTAGTCATCCGAGTGAACCAGTGATGTTCTCGTGGAACATCTTCACAGTGGGCGGCCGTTCAGAGCAGCCGAAAGGTGAGCTGTCGGCATTACACATGTGCGGGCGTTAAGTGGGTCATCTGAGGCACCTTTGGAGGCCACCTCCAAGAGAGTAATCCTAACCCGGTCCCTGTTCTCACTGTGGTGTATGCACTGTATGTCAGGCCGGTCCGGTTTCCATGGGAAGGTATCATGGCCATGGTTCGTCGCTCTCTGTGGTTAGTGACCACCTCCATCTCATCTCTCTCCCCGGCAGGACACAGCCTTGGACCCAGGAGAAGACGTCGCCCTTCTGTCCGTCAGCTTCGAAGACGCTGAAGCCACCCAGGTGTTCCCCAAGCTCTACCTGTCCCCAAGCATCGAGCAGTAAGTGGGGCCGTCGTTCTGGGCCTCCGACCCTGATGGTCCACACCACTGCTCCCTCCACCCTACCTCTCTTTCCTGATTGGAACTGACTCTTCCCTCTGCCGGAATGAGTCTGCAAAAATCCAGTTTTCTAAATCATTGCAGTGGGACCTGTTTATAGCATGCGCCAGATGTGAGTGGTTTACAAAAATACATTTAAAAATAAAGACTGGAGCGGACAAGCACACCCTGGCAGCTGTGAGGGGCTTGGAAAGAGCGGACTTCCTCTCTCTGCTGTCTACTTCTCTAAAATACTGAGGAAGCCGAGAACTAGCTTTGTTTATGACACAGAGCATGTCTGGGTAAGGTCTGCCACTCTGAAGTGCTAAATCTTGCCACAAAAGAATAGGTTTTTTGGGTAAAAATAGATGAGAAGCTGTTCCTCGGCACTTAATCACCAGCAGAAGGGACACCAGTCAATTTCCAGTTGGTAATCTAACAATGTACATTGGCCTGATGAGGGTATTTTTAGTTAGCTATGCAGCGCTGATGGTGAGCAGCGATGGAGCCATGGGGGTCACGAGAGCGGCTTGTCCTTCCATCTTGACGATGGGATTCGTTCACGGTGTCCGTAGTTCTCTCCGAAGCACTTGTTTAGGGAATCCTTGATTCCTCGCCGGTAGGTGTGTCGCGTGTTACACAAAGGCACCTGTGCCAACAGGTAGTCGTGCCAGCAAGGTGTGGCCACCATCCCTAACTCCCTTACTCGTCTCCGCCGTCCTGATCCGGAACGATCCGGGGTGATTTTTATTTCCGAGGCCCCCACGCCAGGTTAGGTGGCTGAAACTCCTCTCTATACCTGGTCCTCCTGCTGTGCACAGATGTGGTCAGATTTTCAGAGACAGGTTACGAGACCCACTCCCCCACCCCCCACCGCAAGCACAACTAAAAATACCACCACGACATGACCAACACACCCCAGTAGGAAGAAGGATCCTTTAGCTTTTGGCTGTCATATGACAGCGGTTAAGTGCCGCTTTCTCCGAATCGTTGCTGACCGCTACACATGTGTCTCCTGCGACCTGCTTTCCCCCCCCAAATACCACGTTTCCTGTGTTAATGTAGCGGCTTTAGAACTTAAATGCCGGCTTAATTAAATCTGGGCTCATCGTGAGTTGGAGATGCTGTGGTGGATTTTGACCCTGTTCTGGGGGTAAAGCGTCCCCCCGCTTGCGTCACTGGGCTCCTCGGCTTATCTTCCCCTGCCACTTACCAGCTGACTCTTATGCATTGAGGGTTTCTGTTTGAGCTGTTAGCTGCAGCAGGGCAACGCTGAATAGGACTGACGTCGCTGCATCCGAGGCGGCGTTTGACGCTTTCTCCCTGGGGAGGGAGATAGTCCGGGGATGGGGGGCGGGGTGGAGGCAGGTCTACCCACGTGTGCCTTCTGCTCTTTGTTTTGGTTTATTGTTTTTCTTCCATGGCCCGACTTTGGGGCGGAGGCATAGCCGCTGGCCCATGACAGCCCCTTCAGATTCTGCATGTCACAGTTTGAGGCACGGGGGGCTGACGGAGCTGGGGGGGCTAGGACAGCTGGAGTGGAGCAGGTTGAGCTGAACGTTACTCCCATGACCGAGCATGGTGACCAGTCCTGACCTTGGTGCCCTGGTGTCGTTCGAGGTCCCACGGCGGTGTGGGTGAGGAAAGGGGGGCAGTACACAGCTGCGGGCAAGGCTTACAGAGGAGGGGGGGGCTGACAGCACCTCAGCCCTCTGAGGGGGAAGCCTGGTCTGAAATCGGCTCTGCTGCATGTTTGCGACTCTCTTCCATTCCACACCTTGCAGGAAATAATATTGTGGGGACCAGATTTTCCCACAATGTGACGAAAACCTGTAACTTGTTACCTTGTAAGGACATAAGGGGAAACCCATTTTTATAAAAAATATATGACTGCAATCAAAAAACAAAAAATCTTGTATTTAGTTTGGTTGCTTATGGTTAAGGTTAGGGCTGGGTGGGGGTTAAGGGTGTCATTGCTGGGATTAGGGGTATGCCCACCGAAATGAATGGAAATATGATACAAAGATATGAAAACAAAGTGTCTGTGTGTGTGTGTGTGTGTGTGTGTGTGTGTGTGAGTGTGTGTGTGTGTCTTTATTTGTGCTCTGTCTTCATTTCTGTACTCGTCGCTCGTTGAACTGGCTCACACGTGCACACAAACGCACGCACTTACACACACACACACACACACACACACACACACACACACAGGAGAGGCACGCGATCGATAGGGAAAGCACCGCAGAGGGGTGAAGAAAACAGGCCGGTTTTCTGTTTTGTGGAAACGCAATTGGAGCCGTTGAGCAGTGAACTGGCGCGGCTCATGCCTGCTGTCCCTTTCTGAGAGACGTTAGCGGCCCCATTGAAAGGTGCCCCCCCCCCCCCAGTGTGCACCTCTCTCTCTCAGCTGCTCACAGCTGCTCTGTCATTTTTTCTTCTTCATTTTTAGTGACTTTTGACTCTTGTCTACGCAGCTACATCTCTCTCTGATTCCTTCGCTGGAGCACCTCCCTGAGCCCCCCACCCCTCCCTCTGCTGCCCCCCCTCCCTCATTTTTCTTTATCCCTCTTCTCCATCAGATCCCTCTCCCCCATTTCCACACGTTTCCGCGCTGGGTGCCCGTCTACGTCGCAGGCGGCTCCCGGCCCGGCTCCCCGCTCCTGCGCCCGCGAAGCGAGGGAGAGGGAGAGGGAGAGGGAGAGAGAGAGAGAGACAGAGGGTTATATAAGGTGCGTGGGCACAGTTAGGCCCCAAGGCAGAGAGAGATGAGAGTATAAAAAGCGGTTTGGGTCTTGGTCCTTTTATGTTGCTGTGCTGCAGTGGCGCACAGAAGATGCCCCTGGAGATGGGCCACCGACGAGGGGGAGGAGACCCCCCCCCCATCTCCAGGCCCTCGAGGAGTCCTGGGGGTTTCTGTGGCCCGGCACGGCGGTCCTTCATTTGCCCCGTATTTTCTAGTTTTCTTTAGTCTGCCACCCCTCCACTATTTATCGTTATTCCCTTTTCTAAGGAATGCATGCCCCACAAGGGCGCCCCGCTGGGGCCCGGGGGCCGGGGGGTGCCCAGGCGGGTCGGCATCCAGCGCCCTTAACTCCGAAATGCACCCTCGACCTTTTCGCCGATGCTCTAATGAGCTGCTGTCTGCCCAGGCCCCCAGTGACCTTTCTGTCGTGCTCCTGCCCACTTGTTGTCACCGGTCCCAGTCTCTCTACCCC